CCTGAATAAAACAAATATCGGGTATAGACTCAATTTGAAAAATAGGCGAAAATTATCTCATCTTTTATATATGGACGACCTTAAACTCTTCTCTGAAAATGAGAATGGTCTACAATCCCTTATTAACACAGTATCTACATTCAGTAATGACATAGGCATGTCCTTTGGGCTTGATAAATGTGCCATCATTAACATTAAAAAGGGCAAAGTAGAAAACCAAGAAACGCCATTCAATAATATTGAAAATCTACCTCCAGATGAAACTTATAAGTACTTGGGAACACCACAAAACCAGCGTATAGACCACACGCAACTTAAAAAAGTATTCACGGAAAAATACAAAAAGAGAGTACTGAAAATTTTAAATACAAAACTGTCAGCGAAGAATCAGATTGTCGCTCTAAATTCATGGGCAGTACCTGTCTTGACGTACACATTTGGCATCCTGAAATGGTCCGATGCTGATCTAAATGAGCTTGATCGCCTAACCCGACGTCTAATGACCAAATTCCGATGTCTACACCCTAATGCATCGGTCAAGAGAATATATCTCCCCCGAAAAAACGGTGGCCGAGGAATGGTTAACATTTATAAACTATGCAGGACACAGGAGGTAAAACTAAGACAGCGATTGCTTGAGTCGGAAGATAGTCTAATGAGGTTAGCTACCCAAGAAGATCGAGGGTATACACCTCTTAACTTACAGCACCATCATCTTTTGTTTGATATAAGCACAAGACAAGAAGATCAAGAAACATGGGCGGAACGAGCTCTGCACGGAAAATTTCCAAAGAGTCTGGAGTTAGATAACATCGATAAGGCACCATCATTGGCTTGGCTTGACGCTTGTTATCTATATCCGGAAACAGAAGGATTCATAATGGCTATTCAGGACAGAGTTATGAGAACACGAAATTATGAGAAACACTGCCTAAAACTAGAGGTCGAAGACAGATGCAGAAAATGCGGATCAGTGGGCGAAACTATCGAACACATAATAGCAGGATGTCGGTACCTAGCAGACAACGCATACCTAGGACGTCACAACCAAGTTGCCAAGATCATCCACCAACAACTTGCTTTAAACAACGGTCTCCTGAGCTCATGCCCACCTTACTATAAATATCAGCCCGCAGCTGTTCTGGAATCAACAGAAACGGTGCTGTACTGGGATAGGCCAATAACAACGGACAGGACAGTCGACCACAATAGACCAGACATCGTCATTATCGATAAACAAAAGAAAACAGGATTGATCATCGATATAGCTGTACCACTGTCATACAACGTCACTAAAACCGAGACCGAGAAGATCAGGAAATATGAAAATCTGTCATATGAATTAAAGAACATCTGGAAACTAGACAAAGTCTCCATAGTCCCACTGGTGATGTCAGCGGAGGGAATTATATCGAAACACTTCACTAAAAATCTCCAAGATATAGGATTATCAAAAAACATAGTGAGATATGCACAGAAAGCAGTCATTTTGCAAACCTGCCACATCGTTCGCAGGTTCTTAAACGGTACCTAAGTGGGTTAAACTGAATTGTTTCCCTGCTAGGTTGTCCGAGCTCATACATTTTGTATAGCGAAAAATTATACCAGCATGTGCTGAGAACACGAAAATAATAATAATAATAATAATAATAATAATAATAATAATAATAATAATAATAATAATAATAATAATAATAATAATAATAATAATAATAATAATAATAATAATAATAATAATAATAATAATAATAATAATAGTAGTAGTAGTAGTAGTTTATTGTCATTTTTATACATTTATAGTACATAGTGACATAAGTCTAGCAGAATACAAGAATACAGGAACATAATAAAAATAGTCTACATTATAAAAATTATAAAATAGGTAAACATACAAAATAGTTATACATGTATAAATTAGATATAAAATATAAAACATAAAAACAACAGCACAAAGTATAAACAGATGCAAAGAAACATTATAAATTACAATAAACTAAAATAAAAATATGAAAAGTAATAAGAGGCCGACTAACCACATAAACATCAGAATAAATTACAGTATGAAAAAAAAAATTATATCAGTTACAATAGTTGCTGAACTCAGATATAGAATAAAAGCATTCAGTTAATAAAAATTCCTTAGAAAAATTTCCGGAAACTTGTGACTGACATATTTGACAAATTCACTTGTATATGAAATTTTAAAAATTTATTGTATAAATTCAAGTCAAGTCTATTGTTTTTAGTGATATTAATGCGTGAAAGTAAGGGTACAAGATTCTCAGCATTACGTGTGTTATGTTTATGAACATCCAGATAAGCAATATGTGCATTACGAGTTTTGTGGATTTCAACTAGATTTTCCAGGATATACACACATGGCAATGGGAGAATTTTGTACCTTTTAAACAGCGGCCGACATGGCGCATTAGTCTCTGCTCCATCCAATGTACGGACAGCAGCTTTTTGTAAATAAAAAACTTTATGAGCTCTTGAGGCTCTGCCCCAAAGCAAAATACCATATAAAAGATGACTGTGAACTATCGAGAAATAGACTGATTTTAATACATATGAATCAAGAAATGGTTTTAATTGCCTTAAAGCGAATATCTGCGAGGAGATTTTAGCACAAACACTGTCTATTTGTGAAAACCAATTTAAAGAAGTGTCTAAGGACATACCTAGTAATGTTACTGTTTCAGCTTTAGCGGATTTATTTGAACTAAATGTGATAGTTTGCGTCTTTGATTCGTTTAATTTTAACTCATTAGTTGAGAACCAGTTTTTAATTGCCGGCAAATCATCAGTTGTAGAATTTTTAAACTTTTTGGATAAAATTGTAGAATCATCTGCAAAAATAACAGGGATACCGTTATCAATAACATTCGGTAAGTCGTTTATATAGAGTAGAAACAATACCGGACCCAGTACGGATCCTTGAGGAACTCCTCTTGTAACCGGTACAAGTTCAGATTCCACGCCATTGTAACTGACATATTGCATTCTATTTGTTAGATAAGATGCAAGTAAACTCAACTCTTTACCCCTAAACCCGTAAAACTCTAGTTTTTCTAATAATAAATTAATATTGACGCAGTCAAAAGCCTTAGAGAGGTCGCAGAGTGTTGCAGTAATTTCTATGCCCTCATCAAGGCTATCAACCACGCTATTTATTACTTTTAGCAATGCTGTTGTGGTAGATTTATGTTTTTGAAAGCCGAATTGGTGAGGCGAAATAATCTTGTTTTTATCTAGATAAGAAATTAATTTACCCTTTAAAATGACTTCAAGAATTTTCCCTACGATTGGAACAATAGCGATTGGTCTAAAGTTGTTTGAATCGTTAATATCACCTTTCTTGTGAATCGGTAGAATTTTGCTTATTTTTAAATTATTCGGCCAACACCCTTCATTTAAACATTTGTTAAATAACAGATTTAGAGGCTCAAGAAGAGAACAAAGAGCTGATTTTAACATAGGTGCGCTCATGCCATAATAGTCTAAACAAGTTGAATTTTTCAGATGAAGTATAGCTTCTTTTATGTCTGACACGATGATAGGGGCCATGAAGAACGAATTCGCCTGTCTTCGACTATTAGTCATGAAGGCACCTGTGGTTGAAGCAATATCTATTGATTTAATTATATTATCCGCTACAGACGCGAAGTAGGAATTAAAAGATTCTGAACTGATATCCGATTTTTTACTTGAGTAACATTTTCTGTTGATTTCATTATTTACTAATTTCCATACCGTTTTATTTTTGTTATCAGCTTCCGTTATTCGGATAGAATAGAAATTCCGTTTTTCCAGTCTTATTGCAGATTTATAAATTTTTCGCGCATTTTTGTAGATAACCCAGTCATCAAACGAGTTTGTTTCTTTGAATATATCTTTAAATTTAAAAACTTGTTTTCGTTGGTTTCTTAATGCTTCACCAAACCACTCAGTCTTTCGACAACCTAAACGACATTTTTTTAGAGGAAAGCTGATGTCCACTACTGATTGTAGCGTCTTTAGCATTTGTGCTGAAACCTCCTCACAGTGTAAGCTTACAAAATCCTGTTCAGGCCATTTTATATCGCTTAAATGGTTTGAGAAAATGTTCAGATTTTGTTTGTTAACTAATCTTTTTTCAATATATGAAGAATGGCAAAAATTGTTATTAATATCTATAAACATATACACACCAGCATGGTCAGCAATATCTGGATCAAATACACCAGTATGAATAACTTCATCAGATATATTTGACAATACATTATCTAAACAGGAGCTCGAGGTGGGAGTGATTCTGGTAGGGCTATGGATAAAATGCTTTAGTCCGTACATTGCTAGGATATTGCGAATGTCTTGTATATGTCCGGAATGATCATTTAAATTGAAATTTATGTCGCCTATAATCGAAATATATTTGTACCTACCTGACAGATAATGAATTAAAAGTGTAAGTTTCTCTATAAAAATTAAGGTATCACCAGAGCTAGATGACCTGTAAGTATTTATAAGTACCATATTTTTATTTACAAATTCAACACCACAAAATTCTGCATGACGAGCTAGGCAGAAGGCGGAGCAGTCAACGATTGTTAAATTTACTTTTTGATTACTAAAAATCGCTACACCCCCATGCTGTTTCTCTGTGCGGCAGAAAGATGTAATTAGGTGATAGTTTTTCAAATTAACATTATTCAAATTTTGAGAGGTAAGCCAATGCTCAGAAATACAAACAATATCAAAAAAGTAATCGTCAAATACAAGGTTTAAATCAATAATTTTGTTACTCAAACTCTCTACATTGATATGAAAAATTGAGAACAAGTTTTTTTGAGATAAATAGTTGCTTAATACATTTTCCGACACTACACTATTATATCGAAGGCTTAAGGAGCTTTTTTGATGGAAAAAAGCGATTCAATATGACATCAGAAGGCCAGACATCGGGGTTCATTATAGCCTCAGACTCTTCAGCAGGTAACGAGATTTTAAAAGACGCATACATTTCAGGGAAACGTGCACTTAGTCTCTCAACTTTGACTTTTGGAGCAAAACCAGCCAAGTATCCTTGTAGTTCTTCGTGATTGGTGTCGATATCGAAATTTGTAGCGTGGTAGTCAAAAATTCTATCAGTAGGACTATGGATTCTATTTGCCGCTTTCAGAGTACACTCACTCGATGCTTTCGTACCAATTAATAGGCTACTGGTTTTCCTAATATTCTGATTATATGACTGTGCAGCAGGACGACGAGGTACTGGTGGTATGTTTTTAGTTGTATCCATTAAGGTTTGTTTTCTTGGTATGTCATTGTTGAGATGTATGATGGAGTTACATATCCCATGAGCACGTGATAAGTGGTCTTGAGCAACAGCAGAATAAGTTATTTCGTTAGAAGAGGGGGAAGACCCTGGATCGATATTATTGTCGCCGTTTTTGTTAAGAGATACGGATTTTTGTGGACCAAGTTTTGTAATTTGAGGGGCATTATTAGCCGACATAACCTCTTTCAAAAGCTCTACTTGCTCAGTTAAAGCCTTTATAGCGATTTCTTGGTTATCTATAATTTTCTGTTTGTCCAATATAATTCTTTCCAGGTAACCAACTTTCAAAGCAGCATCGTTACCTTGTGAAGCCGATAGGGAGGTTTCTGTTGGTGTCAAATTCTCAGAGACTGTGATGACATTGGATGCTCCACAACAGATTAAACCATCTTTCCTATTAACATCAATTTTCAACTTTTCTAGACAACTCTTATGTGATAATTTACCGCATCGAATGCATCTGATGCCCGTTTTAACGGTCTGACTGCATCGCTTGCAAGAATTATCATCGGTAACGTTTGTATTTGTTTCACCCATGGTTATAGAAAAATTTTGATTTAGTGTTCAACAACGTTTTAAAAGATTAACAAATAGCACTGAGTGCAGTTATCGACACCTTTACGATCGATAAATTAATTCGTAAAAAAAGTCCACGATAGCAGCAATTGTTGTCGGATTTTGGAAAATGATTTTGTCGAATTTATATAGTTATTTAGTTAAATTACTCACTTTTTGTAATATAAATGTTGGTGCAGATCTGCAGATCACTATTACAACTTTAGCACAACTTTATATAATTAATAAATCATTATTTTCACAGAAATAAGTAACTTTAGAGACTAGCTCACAGAGACACATGTGTATAGAAAGGCACCAACTGCACATGAATAATAATAATAATAATAATAATAATAATAATAATAATAATAATAATAATAATAATAATAATAATAATAATAATAATAATAATAATAATAATAATAATAATAATAATAATAATAATAATAATAATAATAATAATAATAATAATAATAATAATAATAATAATAATAATAATAATAATAATAATAATAATAATAATAATAATAATAATAATAATAATAATAATAATGATAATAATAATAATAATAATAATAATAATAATAATAATAATAATGATAATAATAATAATAATAATAATAATAATAATAATGATAATAATAATAATAATAATAATAATAATAATAATAATAATAATGATAATAATAATAATAATAATAATAATAATAATAATGATAATAATAATAATAATAATAATAATAATAATAATAATAATAATAATAATAATAATAATAATAATAATAATAATAATAATAATAATAATAATAATAATAATAATAATAATAATAATAATAATAATAATAATAATAATAATAATAATAATAATAATAATAATAATAATAATAATAATAATAATAATAATAATAATAATAATAATAATAATAATAATAATAATAATAATAATAATAATAATAATAATAATAATAATAATAATAATAATAATAATAATAATAATAATAATAATAATAATAATAATAATAATAATAATAATAATAATAATAATAATAATAATAATGATAATAATAATAATAATAATAATAATAATAATAATAATAATAATAATAATAATAATAATGATAATAATAATAATAATAATAATAATAATAATAATAATAATGATAATAATAATAATAATAATAATAATAATAATAATGATAATAATAATAATAATAATAATAATAATAATAATAATAATAATAATAATAATAATAATAATAATAATAATAATAATAATAATAATAATAATAATAATAATAATAATAATAATAATAATAATAATAATAATAATAATAATAATAATAATAATAATAATAATAATAATAATAATAATAATAATAATAATAATAATAATAATAATAATAATAATAATAATAATAATAATAATAATAATAATAATAATAATAATAATAATAATAATAATAATAATAATAATAATAATAATAATAATAATAATAATAATAATAATAATAATAATAATAATAATAATAATAATAATAATAATAATAATAATAATAATAATAATAATAATAATAATAATAATAATAATAATAATAATAATAATAATAATAATAATAATAATAATAATAATAATAATAATAATAATAATAATAATAATAATAATAATAATAATAATAATAATAATAATAATAATAATAATAATAATAATAATAATAATAATAATAATAATAATAATAATAATAATAATAATAATAATAATAATAATAATAATAATAATAATAATAATAATAATAATAATAATAATAATAATAATAATAATAATAATAATAATAATAATAATAATAATAATAATAATAATAATAATAATAATAATAATAATAATAATAATAATAATAATAATAATAATAATAATAATAATAATAATAATAATAATAATAATAATAATAATAATAATAATAATAATAATAATAATAATAATAATAATAATAATAATAATAATAATAATAATAATAATAATAATAATAATAATAATAATAATAATAATAATAATAATAATAATAATAATAATAATAATAATAATAATAATAATAATAATAATAATAATAATAATAATAATAATAATAATAATAATAATAATAATAATAATAATAATAATAATAATAATAATAATAATAATAATAATAATAATAATAATAATAATAATAATAATAATAATAATAATAATAATAATAATAATAATAATAATAATAATAATAATAATAATAATAATAATAATAATAATAATAATAATAATAATAATAATAATAATAATAATAATAATAATAATAATAATAATAATAATAATAATAATAATAATAATAATAATAATAATAATAATAATAATAATAATAATAATAATAATAATAATAATAATAATAATAATAATAATAATAATAATAATAATAATAATAATAATAATAATAATAATAATAATAATAATAATAATAATAATAATAATAATAATAATAATAATAATAATAATAATAATAATAATAATAATAATAATAATAATAATAATAATAATAATAATAATAATAATAATAATAATAATAATAATAATACTAATATTAATAGAGAGAAGCTCTGGTAATAATAATACTAAAAGGAAAAGATAAGCCACTGATTCAAGCATCGTCATAGAAGACAATATGTCTACATCTACATAGCTCACTAGGACAATTATACAAAACAATGCTTAAAAACAAGTTAGAAAAAGAGATCGAAAGTAAGGGAGGATTTTCAGCAAACCAATTTGGATTCAGGAAAGGGAAATCAACAATACAAGCGATAGAAAAGGTAGTTAAAAGCGCAATGGAATTAAATACAAAATGGATAATGGTCGTTACCGTAGATATCAAAAATATTTTTAATATGGCATCGTGGGGAAAAATTATGGATTAGCTGGAAGAAAAAGGAATCGCAAGATACCTGATAAATGTAATAGACAGTTACCTAAATTATGTTGAAAACAAGTGCATCGAACTAAACACAGGAGTATTACAGGGATCTGTATTAGGACCCACGTTGTGGAATGTATTGTATGATGGCATTCTAAGGATACAGCTAATGGAAGGGGTAACAACAGTGGCTTTTGCTGATTATCTTGCGGTTATTACGTAAGCCGAAGACAGGCAAGAAGTAGTTTATAAAACTAACGAATCACAATATAGGATAGATAAATGGATAGAAGCAAATAAGCTATAACTAGCTCCATAAAAATCTGAGGTAATGATCTTGAAAGGCCCATGAAAAAGAGAAGACATTAAGGTAAGAATCTCTGGAATAAAAATTTGCCATTCCAGGCAGATGACGTATCTAAAAGTCACTCTAGACAACAGGATGGGATTCGGAAAGCATATAAAATATACTGTAGAAAAGGCTGAATCTAAACTTACAGCACTCTCTTAGCTAATGCCAAATGTTAGAGGCCCAGGAAGTAAAAAACCAATAGCATTGTACGGGGTGGTACAATCTATACTAATCTACGCGGCTCCATTATGAAAAGACGTAATAAAAAAAACCAAATACAGAAATATGCTAATTGCTGTGCAGAGAAGAGCACTTATGAGAGTAGTCAGCGGGTAGGTACCAAACAATCTCGGCAGTAGCGACGCAGGTAATAGCAGGAATCCCCCTTATTAACCTACTAGTAGAGGAAAAGTTCAGGCTACATTTAAGAGACAACAGCAAGAACAGAAGAGCCAGGAAAGAAGAAAGAGCTAATGCTTTGATGATATGGCAAGAACAATGGCGGCAGCAAGTAGGTAAAGGAGATTGGACAAAACAGATAATTAAAGATGTAAAAAGTGGGAAAATAGAAGAAGAGCCTTATTTATTGGTATTGACCAGGAAATTAGCAAGGAAAACAATATATAAATAATGATCATAAGTCCCAGGTTATGGAACGCAATACAGGAATACATAATTAAGGTAATGGCAACAAAAGAAATGAAATACAACCAAATACCGTTCAATATAACAAACTTTGGGGACTGACGTAACCTTAACCAAGGAGATTCCAGTCCACAAGGTTGAAGAAAAGGGGTGTTTTAGAGGATATACTATTTTTGCCCCTACCACAAAGGAATCCCTCATACCATGCTGTCGTTAATCGACTCGAGCACATGACGGCCCATAAAGGATTTCACCTCTTCCATGTGAGGAAAACCCCACCCAACATCATCGAAGACGGTAACGCATGGGATTTTTATAATCTGGATATCATATCAACATAAATTAAATGTTTGCTAATACGGCATCCATGCAAATAAATTCACATTTACATTTATAGAAAACAAAAATTATTCTTATCGTTTTTGATGTGTGCTTTTCAGATATTTAGAGATAAACGTAAACATTAAATTTGCTAATTAGAAAATAAATATTACAACGTTACAACGCGGTATAATCTGGCAGCACCGATATTATTCGTTTCCTGCTCTGTAGTTTTCACATGGAAGTGTGCAAAGCGTATTGAAGGACGTTTAATGGCCGACACTGTATAGTTAATTATAAAAAACTGGCTAAATTTGCAATCGATAGAAACTTACCAATGCGTTCATATTTGATGCAGACGGTTGCCTATAGGTCGTTTCTTGGCCAGTTGCAACCTTGTTTCTTAAAGAATTATGTTGATCGAGGATATTTCTTATGTCTTTGTTGGTCAAACCAATTTGTTCAGCGTTTCGACCGCATGCTGCAGAATCTATGCTGCAGTTCTATAGAATACAAAATTAAAATTTTGCACAAATAATTATTATTTGAATTCAATATTAGAAAAATAAGTGAATGCTCAGAAAGGAGTATTTATATAAAAAAAAAAAGATTTGGATATAGGGTTTGCCAGATTGGGATATCTAAAAATCGGGTTTTTGACTACAAATCGAAAGGCTATTTTTTTAAGAAAATTTAAGAAAATAAAATTAATAATTCTCAAAACA